TATATAACATTGTTTGACTTGATATAAAATTTAAGAAAGATTTTTTTAAAAAAAAATTTATGGTCTAAAATTCTTGTTGATTATTTGTGTGGCTATAAATAATTTCATTTTGGCTAAAAATAAAATTTAACTTTAAGTTATTTCTAGTTATAGAATTTAACAATATGCTTCTTGAGATAAACTAGGAAGAAAAGAGTGTAACGTAGTAAATTGAGAGAGAAAGCATATACGGATTATTGTATCACATTTTATAATTGGTTTACTTCGAAATTCAGGCTATTAATTATAGTGTATATAGTCCATATTATTGGAGAGAGAAAGAGATTGTTTTGATTGATATTTTAAGAGTTTAATTGGTACCTTTATCTTTTTAGGCTTAGACAAACAAAGACCTATGCTACCATATAGTACTTACTAAATTATTAATTATATACTGTACTAGCCTCATATTTTTTTGATTGGTTTATGGAATGTTTAGCACAAAAGAACAATAAACACCATTAGTTAAATGAATTGGGAAATTGGGAATATTGAGAGGGATCAAGTTGAATACATTTAATTTTTGATAATATAATATAAAAATGTAGTGATTTATGGACAAGGGGGGAGTTCACCTAATATCCTTTGTCAATTTGTGTACACCAATGTAAATAAACAAAGTATTATTGGGATCTGAACCAATGAAGAGGCAATAATGTCTTTTTAGAAGAAAAAAAATGGTAGCATTTTTCTTTTTAATTGGCATAGAGTGAATTTCCATATATTGGGGGTTAGTTAATAGATAAGGTTTTTAGTAAAATATTTTGAGTTTTGATGCACTTTCTGAGCAATAAATATTAGTATTAGCTACTTCATCTTCCAACAATAGTGGTCCAACAATAGTTATTCACTATTGATTTTGTATATTTTTTAAGAAATTACTCCTAAATAAAGGATAATTTTATTATATCACTCTTTGAATATAATAAATATAATATCTTGAAAAATGTAATTAAAAAATGACTATAATTAATGATAAAAATAAATTAAAAATTAAGTATAAATTAGGAACTAAGTGTAAAATTAATCATTAACATCTCAAAATGGACGGAGGGAGTATATAATTTGTCAATGCACTCAGCACTAAAGTATTTCGTTTTGGAAATCAAAAGAGCACTCTCTATAAAATTGCTAATTTCAAAAGTAATGTTTCATTTTTCTATTTTTGTTTTGATATATTTATTTATTTTAATTTTTCTATCCTAAAAATATTCTCTTAAACAAAGATATTTATGCTTGAATGACAACTCGAGATGAACCTTTTATATATCTCGAGGAGAATTACCTAATTTTGTACCACGTGAAAACACTATAAGGCACTGATTTTACTTGGTGGGCAAAGAATATTCAATAACTTAATTTATCTAGTAAATTACTAATGGCTCATCCATAGTCTATGATGAATTAATCGTATTCTAAATCAAACAATGAATTTATTTGAAGCAGTGACTTTCATATCAGAGTAAGTATGAGGCACTTAATTAAATTCAAATTTGCATAAAAAAATTTATATTGAAAAATAAAGCGTCCTTTAACGAAACATATACTTACTAGCTAGTTGGTGAGTTATAATTGTAAAAGAATGTGAATATTCCACGTAAACTCAAATCCTTAACTAGTGAACAACTCAAGATTCTTATAATTATAAAACTTATCCCTTAGACAAAATTCGATATGTAATAGTAAGAACTTGAATATTTTATTCTTAGAATTAAATTTTCAAATTTCAAAACTTTGAGATAATGAAGATAAAAATATTGGCAGGTAGAATATACTATTATACCTTACAAGTACGTTTACATATATTTTATTACATGTTTTTGGTGTTATATGTATGTGGTACATGAAAAGTTGATTATTTTTTTTATTCACTAATTGGTACATTCAACATTTTAGATAAACTCATTTTTCCAATCAACATCTAAAAGGTGGAAGTGGTAATTATTAATTAATAGGGTGCAGTTAGCTAGTTCAATTATTGAACTTTTATGTAGTACTACTAATTAAGGACCACTTTGTTTACAATTGTTTTGTTTTATACACGTCTAATTATTCACAAAGTTCAGATGCATAATTGTCATTGATTTTTTGTGGCAGTATTCATCTGAAATAATTCAAATGAACTATATAAAAGATCAAATAACTTGGCTCTTTCTTAAAAGTGAAAATGAGAGGACAATCCAACAGTTTAAAAAGCCACTACTCAAAATGTAATTTTATTTTAGGCATAATATATAAATGTGTTTGTTAATTTGGTTTCAATTAATATTTACACCCTCTAATTTTGGACGTACATAAATAGACACTTAAATTTGTATAAAGTTAAACAAGTAGATACATGATCCTATGTAGCATCCTGAGTGAAAATTTGTATCATGGTCCTAGATGTGTAATGTCACGTAGTATGCGTGTGTCTGTTTGTTCAACTTTATACAAGTTTAAGTATCTACGTGTACACACTCGAAGGGCATAAATGACAGTTGAAGCCAAGTTAAAGGGCATATTTATGTATTATGTCTTTATTTTATGAAGAATTTGAATTTCATATGATCGTCATGCTTTATCTCAATACATGTAATACTTTCTGTATAGTTTTTAAATATATATATTTTAAAAACTTGAAATATCTATATTCCAATTCATAATCAAAATTAAAGTCTTTTTAACCCTAGTATTCCAAATGCCTTCACATTGAGACAGAAGAAAGGGAAAATGCATAAGTACCCCCTCAACCTATGCCTGAAATCTCAAAGACACATTTATACTATACTAAGGTCCTATTACCCTCCGAACTTATTTTACAAATAATTTTCTACCCCTTTTTGGCCTACGTGGCACTATCTTCTGGGCCCAGTGCGTGTTGACAATTTTTTCAAGCTATCTGGTTGATAGTGCCACGTAGGCCAAAAAGGGATAGAAAATTATTTATAAAATAAGTTCAGGGGGTAATAGGACCTTAGTATAGTATAACTGTGTCTCTGAAATTTCGGGCATAGGTTGGGGGTACTTATGCATTTTCCCAAAAGAAATATAAACTAGCTATATATTAATTAGTAGTATCATTTATGTAGAGAGAAAATAGCCAAAAGACCCCCTAATCTATTACCTAATTCTCAACTACACACTTGTACTTTACGGGAGTCCTACTCCCCCCTTAAACTATTTTAAAGTGGAATTATTTGTTCCCTGAATGCTGAGATGACAAAGAAAGTGTAGTTCACTCTCTTTGAGAGAGTGAGAAGCAAAAATAATAATTAAAACTTTAATTTTTAGATTATTTTTAGTTTATATTGGTTTTCTGTTTTTTTTAAAAAAAATAAATAAATTTAAGTTTCCTTTCAGTTTCTGTTTATTTTTTCTTTTTACCTTTTTTTTCCCTCTTCACCATAGCAGCACCGACGGAAACTCAGCTCCACCACCAAGTCCTTCGTCAGCCTCCCACCATTAACGGATTTTCATCCTCAAATCACAATTTTTTCACTATAGATCCATTTGAAAATTTGACAATAGCTTAAAATCAAAATTAAAATCGAAAGTCAAGAGGATCAAATTTTAATGTCATTAATGGAGAAATTTAGGAACCCTTGAGTGAAATCTATAAGTTCCCTTAGTTATGTTATCCTGACCCAACCACCGTACATAATTATCGCGCCGTCAATCGCCATCTACCTCCGCCGTGAACCACCGCGTTCATCTTTAAAGTTGCTAAGCTCTCAATAATTTCAACCAAAATCCAAAACCCACTTTGAAAAATCAAATGTGAAGTCTCCAAATATTGAAAATTATCACTCTTTTGTGTTCATCACTAAGCTTCAATGCAGCCCATTCATTGTGTATCCTACCAAACAACATCAAATGGTAAATCTTTTTACCATTAATCGACCTTTTAAAATTCTTTTGTTTTATTGAACAAAAATCATGATGAATTTTCAGTTGATGTACAGAAGGTTTATGAAGAAAAGTTCACTCAAGGGTTTTTAAATTTGAGCTTGCTTTGCTAGTTTGAAAAATCATTTCATCAAAGTAAAGAAAAAAAGGAGCAAGAAAGGAAAGAGAAGAAGGGTAATATAAAAGGAAAAGTAAAATAAAGGAATTTTTTTTTTTTTTTTTTTTTAAAAGGTAAATTACATGACAAGCGCGTACCACTTAATTTTTTATACAAATTTGGGCATGAGTTTTTAAGGGGTATATATTATACTTTTAAAATATTCAGGGGTAATAGGACCCTCATAAAGTATAAATGTATAGTTGAGAATTGAGTAATAGATTAGGTGGGCTTTTGACTATTTTCTCTTTACCTTGACATGACTTTACTTTGTTTGGATAAGAAATTTCCTTGATAATAGTTTCATTTTAAATAAATATATATTTTATCTGAATGATTATTGGTGGAAAATAAAAAAAATATTAAGATAATTTGACAAGAATATTTCATTAAAATATTCATTTTTATAGGAAAAGAAGAAGAAGAGAAACTCACATTATAGTCTCAAAGTCCATTGTGATCTCATCTATAATAGATAATAGAAAAGGCTAAGAGAAAGGTTTGAATGTGGAAAAAGGTGTAGAAAAAATCAGTTCACCTTTGATAAGGTGAATAAACAAGTGACTTTGACTGAAGCTTCAACTTAATAGATAAGGTTTGCATGCTGTGTTTTTTTTTTCTCCATCCAATATTGTGTCCGCATTGAAGCACCAACTAAATCTGATTTCCGCACTATAAGGCTTGTTAGGGGATGACACTCCCAACAAAATTTTCTTCATACCCAAAGCTCAAATCCGAGATCTCTGATTAAGGACGAAACAATTTCACCACTACACCACAACCCATATTGCGTTTATCTATAGGTTTGATAAGACCTCTTATATGAAATTTCTTAGGGGGCAACTATTTATCTTGTGCATGAATCAGAACACAAGGAAAACTGACTTAATCCTTGGAATCTAACAATTTCACTAGGTAAAAGTAATCTATATTTAACTTGTATATTTACTAAACTTGATCTTTTCAATATGGAAAAAAAAAATGACTCTCTTAAGGTCTTATAATCCTGAGTTCTGAAGGATAACTTGTTTGTGCCCTAAAGCATATCACTGTAAGCATCTATTCTGTTATCTATAGGCTAACAAAAAAAGACAATTACAGTCATTGGAATTCTCACATTTATTTGAAGATACTTATTTTGGATGGGTCGCACCAATAGGACGAACCAAATGAGTTCTGACTTCTGCATCATGAACTTTGTATAGCGCAAATTACCTAGACGGTTTCTAGAAAGACATAGGGAAGGAATGGAGAAATCCAGAATGAAGAAATCGAGCGTTGTATGCACCATATCCAAGTGATCCAGCCAAAGAAGCAATGTCACTCCATCATTATCAAACTGACTGCAATCTCTTACTGTCCATGAAGGTCCCCACCAAAGCGCCTTCTACAGATCAGAATCATTCTCAACAAGTGATTGCCATCCACTCTAACAAATCCCAAGTACTAACTTCCCCGCAGAACTGTTTACATGCCTGCCTGCCAGGGGAAGAAAATCAAAATTAAAATCAAATGAGATAATAGTACATTCACAATATAAAATGAGTCAAGGAGGCAACACAATTTTAAACTATATGCGACAAAAAATCCAAAGAGAAAGAAACATACTCAATCTTGCAATTCTAAAGAACCATTTGTAACAAAAAATGAGGAAAAAAAAAAAACAAATATTCCATCTCTCATCTTGAGCAATCTTTAGACTAAACGGAACAGTAAGAAATCAATGAATTAGTTCAAGACACATGCAACGACTAGAAGCAACAGCTATCTCGTGGACTTGCAGTTGCAGGAAGTAAAAACAATATCTAAAGCTTTAGCTAACTAAACACTCAGTTTTCGAAGACCTCTGTAGTAAACAAAATGGAAGTACATGTCCTTGAGATACAAGGAAATCCTCCCTACCTACTCCCGCCGTCCCAACTTATGTGTAACACTTTCTTTTTTAGTCGGTCCAAAGAAAAATGACACACTTCTATTTTAGAAACAATTTAACATTAGATTTCTCATTCTACCCTTAATGAGATGATTTATAGCCACAAATATATATATAGCTTATATTAGACACAAGTTTCAAAACCATGTGCTCAGTCAAACACCATCCCATAAATTGGGTCGCAGGGAGTAATCAATTTGTATGTATAGTCACTTCAGTTGTTCTCACCCTTACAATAAAGTATCTTTCTTCTGGGAACGCGGTCAATCATAATTTTTTAATTTATGCTAAGTAACCATGTTAGACAAGTCCTCTCAATATGGATTAAGAGAATAACATTCTTACCTTCAATACTGTAACAACAATATTATTCGTCCAAACATATCGAGACAAAACTGCAGATGGAAAACAGCCACTTTTTTTTTCTCACAAGGAGGGGCTAGCTTGAAGCCTGAAAATACACATAATTAGTGATAGAAAACTGAAGAAAAACAATCACGTCATCCAAGGAATAGAGAAAACCCAGGCTAGAATCGCTTCTCTCCCTGAAAAAAATAAATTGCAAAGATGAAGTTAGTAGGGAAATATAAAAATTAGAATAAGATACATAACCCAGCAGCCTTCTAGAATGCAATTGAACAAGCCATAATAATCTTTTAATAGCTGCAAACAATACCTCAGTTAAATATATTCATATAAATTGCAATCATGGTTTGTCTTTTTGCATCTTCTGAGTACTCGTAAAAAATGCTTGAAAGGTGGCTTGCAAATTTCCCAGATTCACCTAGACACATGCAATCAGAACATCTTTCACTTCCAATCCTCGATGCCAAGATAACCAGAACATCCCATAAAGCAATCTGTCTTCCAAGGGAAATCCAAATATGACCCACTCTCGAAAATCTGTAGGATAATGTCAAAGACAGTGGTGTTTAATTTATCAATGTCATCAAACACTGTAACACAGTATGTAATAAGCTAGGTCGCTGAGTCACTAGTCTCATCTGTCTCACTAATACTGCAACAGGAGCTACAAGTAACAACAATGAAATAAGCTTTACCTTAACGGATAAATACTCGTTCCAACTCACCTTTTGAATGATGAAAGCAGAAGGGAAAGAAATTTATAACCAAACAAGTGACGTGTGCAAATATTATGTATAGTCTGTAAAAGTGACATGTAAAATTAATGCAATAACACTGGGAATGACAGTGAGACATCGCCTAAAGCTTTATGTATAGTCTGCAAAAGTGCAGATAAAATGCCACAAAGTTGCCACAGTCTTGAATGGCCTTTGCAAGAAGGTTCAAATTCCCCTGTGCTTCTGCTTTAGAAAGAATACTACTTTATCCATCGTGCCAAGTTTCCTAACACCTAGCTTTAGAGGCCAAGACTTTTTTTTATGACCGTGGTGTCCGAGCCAGCTTTTGCACACCTCGACTAATTCCACGGGATACCTCCCACCAGCAATAGGTATCAGGTAACTCTGTCCACCAAGGCCAAGAGAGATGTGTAGAATCACATAATGTTTTTTTGACTCCGTTGAGTTTTGAACCTGAGACCGCAAGATTCTCAACCACTTCCTAGACCACTAGGCCACACCCTTAGGCTTCCAATTCTTTTTCCACCTGCATTGGATATCAAACTCGGAGTTGGCTCATAGTTCAAATACTTGAATTAGAACTTATAGGTGCAACTCAGCAAGGAATGTTATGTTATATAATTAGAAGAAATAGAAATAAAAATAGTATTTTCTAAGTAGAATAAACTCCCACTACAAAGTTACAAAAATCATTTTGAACTGTTTGTGAAAAATGGATATATGAGTTTGCCAAATTGATTACCTAGTCACAATAAAAAAACATGCAGATTATATTGAGGCATAACTCAACAAGAAGAAAACATACCCAATATAGCTCTTGTATGATTGTATGGTTCTTTGTTCCGGCAAGAAGAGCTCAAACCATATCTAGAGAAGCTAGTCAATTTTGTCTAAAGACAAATAAGCTCTACGTGAAACCAGTAACAATTTTTGCCACATCATTAGCATTATCATACTCCCCTTTTGAACACAATAAAGCAATACAAGAATAATAAGAATTGAAGTCGAGGAACTGCGTTATTTGAGTGTCTTGATTATGACGGTTATTTGATGCCTTCACCAATTTCCAACTCTCGCATGATCTGGAGTCTATATCTGTTTTGTATTTGCAGGATGAGTCTTTAGAATCGACTCTCTTCTTTCTAACAGGGAAAAACATGGACACCACTTCATTGAGAATATTAACTGCCTCTTGGATGCTTCCTTGCTCACACAACAGAGAAAGAAAACTTCTAATTGACTCTGTTTCAATTTCACTTTCAACTCTATCAAGAAGATCAATGACAGATTTTGATTGAAACATCTCCCTCAAAATGCATCGAGATTCTTCCATCCTTCCTTTATCACATAAGCCTCTCACCAAGTACATGAAACCCAAGAAATCAGGTAGTGTACCTCTCATTTTGGACTCAGAAAAGAACCCAAGAGCTCCCTCCATGTCACCCTTCTGACAATAGCTGTTAAGTACTGCACCGACAGTGAATTCATCTGGAGTTAGGCCTTTAGCTTGCAAATCAAGAAGAAGCTTCAAAGTTTCCTGGACTTGACCTAACTTGCTGCATCCATCAATTAATGAATTGTATATGCGAGTATTCGGTCTAAGATCCTTTAGAGACATTTCCTCAAACAACCTCCTCGCATCTTCTAAAAGACCTTCTTTTGATAAAGTGTCAATGAGTATACCATATGTGATTTCTGAAGGAACTATATTATTCTTTTCTAATGAATCAAATAACCGAAAAGCTTCAACCACGCACCCTTGACGACACAACCCATTGATAACTGAGTTGTAGGTTACAATATTGAAAGAAATTCCTTTATTCTTGGCGAAATTACAGAGATCTAATGCCCTGTCAATATGTCCTCCTTTGCAAAGGCCGTCAATAACAATTGAGTAGTCAACCACATCCAAGAGTGGTAGCTTATCTCCCGCTCCCACAACAAGGTCAAAAGCATCCAGATATCGGCCACCTTTTGTCAGTGTCCTCAAAACTATAGCAGGAAAAGTTACCGCAGATACGTCACCTTTCATAGTAGCAAGAAACCGGAGTGCAGTTTCTACATTTTTTATGCAAAGAAAGTACACAAGTATCTCCTTTTCTCTAAGCTCAAACATCCCATAATTTTTTATGAATGTTGTCAAAAGGAGGCCAGTCAAATAGGTTTTGCCACCATAGAGAAGAGATCTCATTATAAGATAGTAAGAGTTCTTGCTTAGTACAAAACCATTACTTTGGAACACCATTAATAGATCGAATGCAGCCTCTGATAATCCTTTGTTGCACAGGAAAGAGACAGCATCGCTACACAATGAACCAAATTTTTCGTGCTCAATTCTTCCCAATCTCTGAAACAAATCTACAACTCCATCAGCACCCTTAACTCCAAAGATCTTTTTGATCAATATCATATAAATCCTTGTACTTAAAGGCAGACCTCGATCTATTAGTTCAACAAATACTTCAACTGCCATGTCCGGCATGTCATTGTCACAAAGCCCCTGAATGGTGCAATTGTAACATGCAGCTGAAGTTATAGATGCCTTCCGAAATTCATCAAATATTTCAAGTGCCTCATCTAGCATTCCTACTTTTGAGTAACCTTCAATCATTGTACAGTAAGTAACAAAATTGGAAGTTAAGCCCATATCCGATATTTTCTTATAAATGGAAAGAGCATCCTCAAACAACCCCATCATAAACAGGCCTTTTATAAGCAAGTTGCACATAGTAACATCTAAAGAAACATCAGCTGCTTCAACTCGATTTTTTGTTTCTAGCATTCCTGTGACATTTTCTTCTAGCATATAACCATGTAACAACGTACTATATGTGATAATATCTCCGGGGATTCTCTTAGACACATCATCAGCCTCAATCATCCTCCCTGCTTTGCACAATCCATTAATAATGGTGTTGTATGTGACAACACTAGCTTTTATGCCTTTCTTCTCCATTTCACCGAGCAGCTCAAATGCGCGTTCTATATCACCCTTTCTGCACACACCATCAATTAACACTGCATAGATAAACTCATCAGCTTCAATCTGCAAATCTTCAACCATCTTAAACACTGCAAACGCCTCACATAGTTTCCGTTTCTTGCAAAATCCTAATATCACTGCTGTAAGAGTAACCAAATTAGGTTGCAGACCACGTTTTTTCATTGTGTATAGGAAACCAACTGCTTTCTCCACATGCCCCTCCTTTGAAAACCCATCAATAAGTATTGTATAGCTTATTGTATCCAACTCAATTCTCCTACACACCATATCATTGTGTCTGCAGAGTGCCTCTTCAATTGCTCCTTCCCTAAAATACCCATGTATCCAATTACTGTAAAACACAACATCTAATTCTAATCCATATATCTGCATCCTAGCAACCAAATCCGAAACCTCGTTGATTCTTCCTAACCTACTATAAGCACTTAATAGTCCTGTATAAGTAACAACGTTGGGCTTCAAATAACCTAAGCTCGCAGCATTCTCAAAGAACTTAACCGCAAGCTCAGCCTTTCCAACACTCAAAAACCCAGAAATCACACAACTACATACAAAATTATCAAATGGGTATTTATTTTTCTCATTGTTCATCAACTCTATCACTTGAATAACCTCATCCATCTTTCCCTGACTAGATAAACAGCAAATCAATGAAGAGAAAGTGTACGAAGAAAGCAAAACACCATCACTCACTGAACAATCCTGCAGTATGTAAAGCGCCTTTTCGGGGTTTCTTTTACAGAGGGGTTGAATTAATGAATCAAATAGGCTTTTCTGCATCTGGGTATTCTTCCCCTTCAAGTACTGAACTGCCTCATCATATTTATCCTCTTTGACAAGGGCTTGTATGAAAATTCTGCGTGTCTTGGAGTCTCCCTTGAATTGGTTCGATTTCACCAAGTCTATGATAAGTTTGAATCTTTTGGATTTAGAAAGGAAGAGGAGGAATTGATTGAAGTGAGTGGTGGTGGGAGTGAAACCACTCTTCAATAGAGAAACAAGGGAGAGAGATTGAGAATTGGCAGGCAAAAGGAAGGTAGAGAATGGTCTGATGTTAGAAATCTTAGAGAAAATCATGGCCTATAGTTCTATACAGTGAGATTTGGCAACTTTCATAGAAGTAATTTGAGAAAAATGAAAAACCAAGAGCAAATACTCTTCAAATCCCAAAAATGAAGAGCCTAATGCAGCCAAGTTCTTCTTCAATATTTGTCCGATCAGGTTTCAGTGGTGTTGCATAACTTTGCCTCTCATTTCCACCGGAGCCGAGTTCAGAGTTTTTGCTCCATCACCAAAGATTTGAGCAGAATTTGGGAGAGAAGAAAATAAAAGGGATGATTTCATAAACATCCCCTAAGATTTGGTTATGTAACACTAATCACTTGTAATTTATATTTGTTCACTTTTAATTGTCATATTATATTTTTTGAAAATTTATTTGACTAATTTTTAAATTTAAATTAAATTATATTAATTTGATATTTTAAACAAAAAAAATTAGATATTAAAAAGTTATACGAAAATTACTATAAATTGGAAATTTTTACATATAAATATGATGAAAAATACATTGCAAAATGTTAGTCAAAATTCATATAGTTTGACTCTTAAAAAAGAAATCATGACAAATGAAAAAGAGATTGAGGGAGTAGTTATTAGGCTAACCTTTCTTATTTAAACTTTTTTTGTAATAACAAATATTTAATCTATTTATAATCAAAGTAATGAAAATAATCAAGGAATAACTTCATACACTTTTCGTTAAATTTGACTTCATAACACTAATTTACGATATTGTATGTATATATTGGTTGAAATATGAATTCAACACGTGGACAACTTAGAGAATGATGTGTTGTAGAATGTTGCTGGTGGGATTCAAGTCAAGAAGACAATTTTGACTTAAAATTATGAGAACGTCCAGACAATTTATATCAGACCTGCATCAAACGGTCTTTCTCCGAAATAGAGCTTATGATAGGCCATAATCTGTCCAATATGATAAGCTTCACATATTAGCCAGCTTCAAAAATTTAGAATTCACTATGATGGTTATGTATCCACGTACGTGATAAATGCGAAGTACAAATAATGATCATCATAGGCTGCTAAATGCTTGAGAAATATTGTTTTAGGGTTAAGTTATAAATACACCTTTATCTCTCTCTCACTTGTATTCTAACTAATTTTCATTTTTACTACTAAAGATCTTGAATTGGAACAAACCACAAATACTCCATCAAGTCAAATTGTTTGACAATTTTATCAAGACTCTAAGTGGGGTAAAATGGGAGTTAGTCAATTAAACCTCCTCACTTACGCCTATTACTTTGAAAAGCGAAATCATTCACGCTCTAAGTTCTATCTAGCAATAAATTAGGATTCTTCATCTTCTTACTTCAATTTAAGGATTCTATTGGGATTTTTCCTTTCTAGTATGTGAGATTTTATCAATGGGTACCCTTTCACCCATTAAGTCCTAAAGAAAACTTCGTTCTTTAGTTGATTAATTCTATAAAACCTACAATTTCAATGAAAATCATGAAGTTCATCATATTTTAGTTTTTCTTCATGAACGGTCCATGAATACATGATTTTTTAATCTAAAATTCAATATTTTTATATAGCTATTTTCATGAGTCCTCAGAATAAAGAAAATTCATGTTTTTGAATATGTGTTGGTTAAGTTGCATGTTTTATTCAGGATGATAGAATTTGTTATGATTAATTATACCTTCAGTCTTTCAGTTATATATGTATAAGATGCTTTTAGATAAAATATATTGTTTAAATCTCAAATTTTAGTATTACTGAGTTATCCAATATTATTAGTATTACTCATTTTGTTAGTATAAATTCAATTGATAGGGTTACTTAGCATCGAACGAACGTAGGGATGCAGACTCACCTCTATGCTGAGACCTTTAATAGCAATTTCTAAGTCCAAAACTATGTGTCATCGTAGATTATAAGGGTCACACATTTGTGTTGGCTTGACACCTTATTGTTTTCTGGATATCAACTTAGTTGATTCCCTATATCAACGTTTTACCCTTGGCAAGGTACAGAGCACCTTCCAACTGGGTTATAGGTTGGACTTTGTTAGCTCATATGGAGCATGTTGGACGTCAGGGGCGGCTGGTAAGCTTTTAAAAAAAGACTTTGGCCTTAGGCCCCCAAGTTTAGGGGGCCCCATTTTTTGGGTTCTTAGGTAGGATTAAACTAAAAAAAAAAAACTAAGACTTTAAATTCAAACCAAATTAATGAGATGACTTGATATGACTATTACTTTTTACCTTTTTAATGTGTACTTTTTTAATTGTACAAATTTTTTTTTTAATTTTTTTTTACCTTATTCTTTTTCTAATTTATTTTTATATATTCTATCCTTCTCTCTTCCTCTCTTCTATTTCTTCTCTCTTTTTCTTTTCTAATCTTATATCTCTCTTAATCAAAACTTAAGAATTTACTTGTTCTATTGATAATTTCAATTTTCAAAAAATATAGTTTATGTTTTTGATTTGAACAATTTGAAGTATATGAAAATATTTTTGGTTTTCTAGTTAGTGGGAAAAAATTGAGATCATTAGATGATGAGAATTCAAAAAAATATTGTCTTAATCTTGAATGTTCCTTAAAACATAATACTCACTCCGATATTGACGGTTTAGACTTATTTTCTGAGTTAAAAGTGTTAAGGAAAATCATACAAGTAGAAGACAATACTCTAATTGAGATACTTAATCAAATAAAAATACTTGATTCTTTTCCAAATGCTTACATTGCTTATAGAATAATGTTAACAATTCCTGCAACAGTCGCTTCAGCAGAAAGAAGTTTTTCAAAATTAAAAATAATAAAATCGAATTTAAGATCAACAATGTCTCAAGAAAGATTAAGTGGTTTGGCTATATTATCGATTGAAAAAAAATTATTAGAAGAGATTGACTACACAAAAATTATAAACAATTTTGCATCTCAAAAAGTTAGAAAAATAGATTTGAAATAAAAACATATATAATTTTTAAAAAAAAATTTAAGGCCTCTAGTTTGATTTTGGCCTTAGGCCACCAACGGGTTTGAGCCGCCCCTGTTGGACGTAATTAGTATCTTCCACAATTCAGTCAATAATTATTGCATGACTTTGTATTTAGTTTATATCAGTTCAATATTGACTAGTTCAATGTTTACTTCTTAGTCATTGCATCAATTTATGTATTTTAATTTTATATTTAGTTTAGCACCCCAAATCTATCATGTTCAGCTTATTAGAATTGTGATGCATATCTCACATACTCAATAGTCAATACATTCAAATAATTGACCGCATATCTTCTTGCGCTATATTATTTTATAATATAGGTTTAGATGCTTATAATCATCCAACTTGCAGTTAATATAATTTTCGATCAACTCAGTAACAGTGTTGGCGAATCCTCATTTTTCAAAGACAACCCCTAGTTTATTTCATTTATTTAGTCATTCAGTTTACAGATAGTTAGAGTTAGCTGGGGGTTTGTCCTAGTAACTCATCTCAGTAGATGCTTTCAGAGAGTCTGATAGTAATTTCAATTTTATGTTTTGTTCAAATGACATCTATTTGATTATTATATTAGCTTCCACATTAGACATTTTTAATTGTTATCTATAGATCATATGTCAAATGGTCTCGAATCGCGACAATATATTAGAATAATTTTAATTAATTTTTTAAGATGATTTTTCAAAATAAAAAAATTTAATTTTTCCCAGTTTTGCAAGTGAATTTCCCCATTCTCATAAAACTTTTAATTTTCTAAAAATGACATACATCTATAACATAACTGAAGTTTTTTTTATCTATTTTTCTACTTTAACTGCAAATACATCTTTTTTATTTTTAAATATCACTTGCCAAACGCTTATTAAGTATCATTACAAAACATTTGAAATTGAAAGAGAAAAATTAGCATAGCAATCTTTGGACCGGAGAATACGACAATTTTTTATGCAAATTATCTACTTTCTAAGGCTAAATTGGTCAATCCAAAAATTGTTAATCCAAAATTGATTTACACAAATTGCATTTATTTTAATTAACTTAATTCCAAAGTTTGAACCACTACTACTTACCATAACAATAATATAGCTGATGTAATCTTACAACTTCACCGAATTCGTGAAGGTTAGAGTGAGACTTTATTTCTACCTCGTAGACTTAGAGATGTTGTTTTTGAAAGACCCTCGACTTAAGCACAACAAATCAAAATAATTATGAAAAAAAAATATGAACATGAAGAAAACATGATAACTAATAAGGAAAGTAGTATAGAGAGTTCAGAAACAGAACAATTACATCTATAAAATAATGCAAAAATTGAAACATAATAAGCAACAATTGTTAACAGACATCAAAACAAGAAACTAAATGAATAGGCTAATACTACGACATACGCAGTGCTACAAATTATCATCAAGCCTAATCTCATTTAAAAACCGAAACAATCTCAACCACCTACAAGCCTTCTATCCAAATCCGCAACCTCTACACCCTCCTATCTAAGATCATATCCTCGACAAACCGAAATTGTGTCACATCCTATCTATTACCCTCTATCCAATACTTCTTCGAGCTACCTTTTCCTCTTCTCATACCTACTATATCCAACTTTTCACATCTTCTCACTGAGACATTTACGCATCTCCTCTTCACATGTCCAAATTATATATTAACCTTGCTTCTCTTATCTTATTCACTACGAATACCACTCTCATCTTATTTTGTATTTACTCATTTCTAATTTTATCTCTCTTAATATGTCCACCGCTACTTATATTTCTTATTTGTCTTCAATTCAAAAGATCCATCACAACTTCCTCCCTAATTGAAAATAGAGAAAAAGCCAAATATGTGCATTTAACTGCTTACTATAAATGATGAGCATGACACTTTCGTGAGTACATCACAAATACGCGTTTTCTATGACATAACAAAAGACTGAAAACTTCTCACACGCCTCCTACACTGCCCCTACCTTCTACAAAAGATATTATGGAATATTTATTGCAATATCAGAAATAATTTAAATATATTCTTCGTTATAGTTTTGATAATTAGATATATTTTTCAATCATATTTTGAATTTATAAATATATTTTTATCATATTTTGATGTAAATCACACATAATCATTAAGAAAAAAAAATTTAAAATATAAATTAAATGGAGTATCACTTTTTGCTTTTGCTTTAGCTCTTTTAGTTATTTTCAAATTATTTTTTAAAATATAAGTAATTCAAACAAAAAATCATAAATATGAGCAATTAACTCTCTTAAACATATAAATGAAAAACAAAATAGAATAAATTTATAATAACTCTCTTAATCATACGTGGAACGATTAACTTATATTGAACATTACCAAAAGGCTCAAAAATTCAATTCTTATAGATTAGACTTTGGAGAGAATAATATATATATATA